GCCTTCTAACGGATTACCTAAACACCTATTCCGAATAAACTTGGTGGAGCGTTTAAGTCAGGGCGCCAAGGCCTGTGAGATGGTGGCGAATCTCCCCGCGAAGACCGCCCTTGAAGCGCCTCGCCCTCGTTTCCTCCGTATCAATCAAGTACGGCACGAAGAAGCCGAGGCGAGTGAAGTCTCTCTCATACTCATCGACAGTCCTAGCACCCTGCTCCAGTGCTAAGAACTGCCTCTCCATCCTTTGTCTGTAGTGGGCTGGGTAATACTTCTCCCGGAGGAGCGCCTTCAGACCAGCCCAAGTGAGGGCCAGCTTCTCCCCGGGTCGCATCTCCCAGTACGAATGCCACCAGAGACCTGCATCCCCTATCATCTGTAGCTGTGCGCACATGATCCTGTGAGGCTCGGGGCAGTCCATCACCTCAAAAATCATATCAAGGCTGCGCAGCCACTCGTCGACAAGCCTCGGGTCTCCCTGCCCATTGAACGTCGCAGGGTGGTACCCGCAGAACTGAGAAACTGAAAAGGCCTGATCGCGCACTGGCGCGGCCGGCGGGGGCGGTGCTGGAATCGGGGCTCGACGAGGAGGCATCTGAATGGTAAAATGACAGGGATTAGCAGAAAGTATTGAATATTTGATGGAGAATTAAGAAAGTTAACAGAATTTCTCAAAGTTAACTATCTCTGCTGAAATTCTAACTGAAGCAGTATAGCCGATTAATAAATAGCTACTCTATACTTTAATAAGTTATCGGATTCCGAAAACACCTAGCTTGGCTAGAGTTCCGGGTACACTAAAATCCTCTAAGTTCTTACTAGAGTTCTGACTAGAATTCTCAAATCTTAATTGAAGGATAGATCTAACGCCCCTAAAATAATCTGAATATAATTAAATATGCATTCACAAATAAAAGCTGTACAGGTGACGTACCTCGGAGTCGGCGTGGCGTGAGCGTGGTGTGGTCATATCTTACTAAAATTTTAGTATACAGAACCACTAAGTGGCTCTGATACCTGTTGGAACCCACGAGGATCTCGATATGCACAAATCACGGACAAACATTCAAC